CACCAAATTTAGAATAAAAAATAAATTTTTTTTTTTTTTTTTTTTTTTTTTTTTAATTGTTTTTGGCCCGGCCGGGCAAGTGACCCCGGGCCACTCTGGTAGCCTAGGAACTAATTAACAAGTAAAGAACCCTCCCACTGGCAACCTCCGCCTGCCAATCCCCCAGTCCCTTCTCTACAATCAATTTTGCTGTCTTCTCCTCTCCTATCCTCCTCACATTCTGCACTCTCTCTCTCTCTCTCTCTCTCTCCCCCCACGTTATATATACAAATATATGCTTGCTGGAAATCATCTCACCTGGAATGCAGAGACGATGTCGTACGGCCCATCTCCACAGGGTGCATAGCCCGGCTGTCAAGCGAACACAGATAGCGAACAGGTCACCAGAACACAAAACAAGAACACGCACACACAACAACAACATGTAAGAAAATGCACGCAGCACAGGCAAAGGCATTCAGCACTCAAACCCTGCAGAATAGGAAACAGACTTCGAAAGTGAGGCATGGGAGACATATCCACTTCTCTTACCAATCTAACATCTGTTGGACAACCGTTTGGCGATACATATTTAACCAAATTATTACGCAGGCGATTGTTTTACTGGTTGAATACAAGTGTACGGGATCTCCATAGATGCGGCAAGAGCAAGCGAGCAAGCAAAAAAGGGAAAGAAAAGGGCCCTGGGAGAGAGTCAGAAAGTCACCGCCCTTGGAGAGACATACAGCGGCACCGACCGGTTAAATAAACCGTTGAAACAAGAGATAATTTGGAAAAAAAGAAAGCAAAATCAGAGCTTGTACCATGAGGAGGTCATACTGCCGGATGGAAAGGACCAGAAGACAGAAAGATGACATAGTAGCCAAAGGGAATACGGCAGCCCAAGAGAGAGAGAGAGAGAGAGAGAGAGAGAGAGAGAGAGAGAGAGAGAGAGATGAACCTTCCAGTGACACCAATTATAGCACTTCTGACGAAGGGGAAGAAAGAGAACACAAAAGAGGAGACAGACTGCCTGGAGGCCCTGGACGACATAATAGCCAAAGGGAATAGGGCAGCCCGAGAAGCCAAGGAGCGAGAAAGAGAGGAGAATCGAGGAGATAAGAGAGAGACGGACTCCCTCCACTACTCTACATTCGACTGATGTCCGGACTCAGAGGTCGACCAGATGCATTCCAGATGATCCAAGATTTTGAATGAATTGGGACACCATTACCAGCTCAAGATACATTTCGAATCTTCTGTAGTGGAGCAATGCCTAAAGAAGGAAGAGTCGCACCAATTTTGGCATTTCTGGCAAAGCGAAGAAAGAGAACTCAACAGGCTGCCAGATTGCGCGGACTAGATCCTTATCTGAGAATCGAACTGAAAATAGAAAACCAAAAAACAAAGAGACTTCCAAAAAACAAAGAGACCTCCAAAAAACAAAGACTTCAAATCCATCTACACATTCGATAACAACGACATGTAAGAAAGGGCTGACGTGGCAGCAAGGAGGACAAGCAAAACTAAAGGTTTGTCCCCAAAAAGTTAAAAAAAACAACCAAAAACAGAAAAAGACACGTTTGTTTGCCTATTTTCTTTTCTTTCCTTTTTAGACTTCCGCTCCCTACCTACCACAACTCCTAGTGTATATAGAGGGGACCCCTGCATGCATTGATAGCTCTCACAGTGCCATGAATATTGCATGTTGCCCCTTGCCTTGTGGTTTAGGGTGCAGCGTTAGGGCCGCGCTGGTGGGGGTCCGGCTAACCCAAAGACCTGGCATTTTGCAACTACCTTCTTCCCCCGAATACAACGTACGGTCATTATAGCTGTATTTGGCCTTTTTTCAGACTAAATACAGCTATAATGACCGTACGTTGTATTCGGGGGAAGAAGGTAGCTGCACCTCTCTTTTCATAGTCCCCCCCCACCCATCGAGTAGAAGCAGTGTCTTAAGGCCAACACTTTCCCACACACCACACACAAACCTCATTACAAAACAAACTTTAAGCTTCCAGAAAAAAGAAAATTCCGTTACTCGCTGTACCTTAATGGTGCCACCGTAAACCATCAAGCTTGGTCTGTTGAGCCTTCCCATAGCGATCAAAGTGCCCGGCATCTGAATATCGTCATCACACACAAAAGCAAAACAATTTTTTTTGTAAGGAAAAAAAAAGCAATTTATTGTCATTCACATACTGCTTTGGTTCTAAACATCCGAATATCATCATCACACACAAAATCAAAACATTTTTCTTTTAGGGAAAAAAAAAAAAATCAATTGATTGTCTTCCACATACTGTTATGGTTCTCTTGAAAAATATATATATACATCTGAGTATCGTCATCACACAAAAGCAAAACAATTTACGGTTTACAAAAAAAAAAAAAATCAATTTACTGTCATTCACATACTGTTTATGCTTTTCTCTTGAAGGGAAAAAAAAAATATCGAAAATCAGAAAATCAATTAAACCACGAGTTTACCCGAAGCAGAAAAAGGCTCTTACAACAACAACAACAACAAAAAAAAAAAAAAAAAAAAAAAAAAAAAAAAACCAACAACAACAACAACAACACGACTCTTGCCGGGGGCCAAGTCCCACTAGCAGCGTTGAGTTTTCTCAATGCCGGAATCTGGACGTCTTTGTGGAGATGAGCGAGCGATTGAGGCCCAATGGTGAAGGCTTTCCTTTCTCGATCAGACCGTGGCCATCTGGGGCCAAGCCCCACTAGCAGCGATGAGCTACCTCAACGCCTGAATCTGGACGTATTTGTGGAGACGTGCAGTTCAGGAAACTCAACACCATTTCTGCACATCTCCCCAAAAGCGTCCACATTCAGCTGTTGAGGTAACTCAACGCTGCTAGTGGGACTTGGCCCCTGGTGATGCAGGGTTTTGCTACCATAACTCTAGCCTCCACACGTCGAAGGTATTTACTCAACTTTCTTCCTTTTTGCCCTCCCCCTTTTTGTTTTTGTTTCATCACTAGCGGGGGTCCCCCTCTCTAGCGTGATGTGCCCCGCCCCAGAGAGGAGGACGACTCACATACTACCTTAGACAAAAAGAAAAAGACAAAAAAAAAAAAAAAAGAAGGTGAACATGTGCAACCAATGGTAAAGCACCCGGTTCAACGACTGCCTCAATAAGCCAACGTCGTGAAAATGAAGAGAATGGCCTTTGCCCTACGATCCATGGAAATCGGCGGTGGCAAGGAGTGTCACACAACAGGGAGGTGGTCGCCATTACCGGAACAGGAGCAATGCTAGCGTGACTTGGCCCCTGGGGCCAGGACCCACTAGCGCCGTATTATTCCGTGGGAAAGTGACATGTGACACCCTTTGGCATTTGAAAAATGGTTTCTATATACCTTTTACCGATTTGAAAAACTCTTTCTGCGAGTTAAAGAAAGTAAAATTCAGCTTAGGGTGCTCCCGTCAGAGGCGCCTTTCTTAAGCGGAAATGGGCCACTTGTTTTGGTTTGGGTAGATTTCAATAGTGCCACGAATTCGAAAAGTAATAACAAGAATAGCGAGCCCAATAGCAGATTCTGCAGCAGCTACAGTTAATACGAATAAAGCACATAAGGGAGCCGTGGAATTCGTCGCCGCTATTCCTGGGTGTGTGCTGCACTCAGCCAATGGGCTGCTGGGTCCTCTGAAGGTGGTGGCTGTCAGGAGGATGGTCCCACTACAGTCTTCCCCCGAATAAAACGTACGGTCATTATAGCTGGATTTGGTGTATCTTTCAGTCTAAATTCAGCTATAATGACTGTACGTTGTATTCGGGGGAAGACTAGCAACGGGATGTAATAGAAAAGAGTTTGTGTGGCAGTTGAGTGACCCAAATCCTGCCGTGCAGTACTCGTGATCCCACGGTCATATTTCACATTTATTTTATTACCCGAAAAACTAAGGAGAACTTCGTTCCCCTCCTCGTCTCCTTAACACTGGGCATGCCCGTGCAAAGGAAGCTTCCCGCAATAATATTTTCAATCCGTTGGGGAGGGTTATGGCCAACCCCAAAAGAGAGTGGATAGAAGATTTTCAGTATTTTGCTTGCTGTTGTGCAATTATCTCATTGGGTGGGGTTCTCCAATCACGGAGTATATCGAGGGCGTCATGATCACTGCTGACAGAAGTCAAATTTATTCCACAAAATGTGGCAGTTATTTTGTTCACTGTGGCTGGGCAGCACTCTGCCGTGATTTCCGGTGGGAGGTCTCTGTTTTTTTTTTTGTTTTTTTTTCCGTCTTTCTTCTGTTTTCTCAGCCCAGAAATTCGTAATGAACCTGTCAGGCCGCTGCCACTCAGTGTCACACTGGATCGGCCACACTCCTATCCAACTGCTACCGTCTTCACCCGAATAGAACGCCCGGTCATTATAGCTGTATTTGATGCAACTTTCCGTCCAGATGCAGCAATAAGAACCGGGCGTTCTATTCGGGTGAAGACGGTAGGAGGCCGCACGATATGCACGAGGTGCTTAAAAGCGCAATAATGACATTCTTTTTTTATAAATTTTATTTTTTCCCCCAACATCACAATGCCCGGAAAAATGGGTCTGCAATTTCTTTTTTTTTTTACAAAAATAGGGTGATGGCCTTGACATATCATCATGGGGAAACTACGTGGGAGTCACCAAAATGAGTTATAATTGCACAAAGGGCCAAGATACAGTTCCAAATTGCAGTTTGGGCAATGTATACAACCCAACTTTCTGGCCAGGTAGGGTGCCCGAAGTGCAATTGCAAACTGTATCTTGCCCCATAGTGCAAACTCATTTTTGGGGCTCTACTGAAGTCACCCCTATCATCACTCAACTGACCGGTCCCAGGTAATTCAGAATGATAGATCAAATTTATAACGGATCAGACTTTTTTGTTTGTAAAAAAAAAAAAAAAAAATTATGTTCATCTGACAATATCCGGATTTGAACTTGGGTCTATAATTTAACAGTTCATGGGTGTACCAACTGCGATAGACCCATCGGTGGTTCTGATAATTTTGATGATCAATATTTTAAATAATTTCATAAAAAAGCTTTACAGCGAAGTGAGCGTTGACGTATCCAAAATTCTCTTCCCTTGCTACTCCGGCACTCTTCTCCCGCCGTCCCCCTTCCTCCTCTCTTCTGCTCCCAGCCACATCCGCTCGCTACCTCCCATACTCCCTCCCGCGTGCACTCGAAACCCTTTTCCCCACTTACCCCTTCTACATCGATCGCCACCTCCCACTGTTTCTCCCCACCCATGCCGAGAACCCTTGTTTTCCATCCAAACACATTGCTTCCTTCAGTCAACGTCTAACACCAGTTGGATTCACGCACGCCTCTCTCTCTCTCTCTCTCTCTCTCTCTCTCTCTCTCTCTCTCTCTCTCTCTCTCTCTCTCTCTCTCT